TTTCTTGTTTCTATTTGTCCTCTGTTATTCTTTCATTGTTGTGTTTGGTGAGGGAGGTGTAGTTGATGGTGCTGTATCTCTTTTATTGTACAGATTTATTACATTTTCACCAGATCAAGTGTATTGTTATGTGATCTTAATTTTTCTACCATTTTATTTATTGAGGGGAAAATCAGCACATATTTATAATATCTAATCAAAAACCAATTTATTGTTATGGAACAAAACACAAACACACACACAAAACCTCTGTCAGATTTCTTGCTCAAACAAACTTTGTCTCTTGCATCAAGTGTTGTTCATGTAGTTCGTGTGGTTTGTGAATATCAAAAGAATGACTTAAGGAGAATGAAGACAAAAATCAAAGTCGAGGCACGTAATAGTTACGTTCTCCTTAAGACGAAATTGCCCCGTAAAATACCCACGGTTAATGGCAACGCTTCCAAGATACAACGACTTTCGACTTGTATATAGCGACACTTCAAATATACAAGCCTTCGGCGAACACTGCTATTGTTTGGAACTCTAAAGACTCAATAAAAAAATCAAATAACAATATGCTATATGATCTTTGAAAAATAATGCAAGAGCTCTCTAATTTTCAAGTTCTGATTTTAAGTATGTGGGTATTTATAGATGTAGGAAAATACGTCAAAAAGGTTTAAGTGTCAAAAGAGACCTTTTGGGACATACCCCAAACGAGAATAGACGCTTCTAAAGGCCAAAAGACACCTTATAGTCACCAAAGGTTGTGACCTTTCGGTTTCCGCAGCCAGCTGCGCGCCCGTACGCCGCGGGCTCGTACGAGTTCATATGGACTCGGAATCGAGTTCCGTTTTTTCTTACTCGTCCCAACGAACCCCTCTAGAGTTATAGCATGCAAGCTACATGATCAGGTCTCGTTTGGATTACCTTAAATTTTCAAAGAATGTTTTACAAATCCAATAATTTGAGTTACTTAAACTCATTGCTTCAACCTTACATTTCCCACATATACAACTTATAATTAATTTTTCATTCATCTTAAATGGTTTTGAGAATTTTCTAAGTATTACACTTACGAAAAATTGAACCGTAAAATTGGTACAAAACTAATTTTTCTTACAGTTCACAAATCACTATAGTGCAGCAACTAAAATTTCAGTTATAAATGAGAAAAAAAACAATCCAAAAATTTAAATCTCAAGTGTCACTTTTCCAACACTATCATATATGGTAGTTCCACTTCCAGAAGAAGTCTTTATTCCGTGCTATGTATATATATCCAGGTTAAAGAGAATTTGTACTCAGTACAAAGTTAGATATTTCACCTGCAATAGAGAAAACACTACATTAGTCCATGATCAGAACACAAATTTCATATAAGTATTGAGGAAGTAAATAGTGCAGAATCTCATCAAACCTGACCAGAAGAAAAAAAGCTAGTCGGCCACTCGAACCAAAATGCCGCCACTTCTCCTCCTCTCGAACACCTTAACCATCCGAAAATGCTTGCTCCAGTGACTGCCCCAAATCTTTCAGGCCATTACGCTGAACTCGATCATCTTCTTCTTCTTCGTCACGTGTGTTACCTTTTGTGTTATTTACATTTCCCGATATCCTAACGACCCGTTTTCTTATAATAGACGGAACATTATCATAATTCCTAGCTGCACTCCTCAAAATAGATTCAGGGCAGCTATTTATATCAGGCGAAACTTTCATCTCGTTATTCGGCTGGCGAATTTTACTTGTCGACAGTAATAAATGCATGTCATCCTTCCAAATCGGCTCGTAACACAACCCGGTGTAGTAATTCCAATCTGACGAATTTTGGCGTCGTTTGAGATTTTCGTACGTGTCACTGTGCCTTCTTGGCTTAATCGAGCAAGAGTTAGCAAAATCGGGATAATCGAGAGGCGATTTCTCGATATTTTTACCGCAACTTGGTTTGGTTGAAGAGGAAGGATTTGAGAAAGTAGATGAGCTGCCAGGGCATGCGAGGCTCAAATCGAGGCAAACCGGGTCTTCATTTGTCTCGTCGTCTGTTTTTTCTTCATGCGAACTATTGGGTGGGCTCGTTCGATTTTGCTCAAACTCCACAAGTTTATCTTCGCCTTTTTCCTTTTCGTGCGGTGGACGGTGATTTACCGACGAATTAATGAGTTTCCTTTTCAGAGAGCAATTCCACTGATTTTTTACCGAGTTCTCCGTTCTATAAAAGACATATTAGATCCGCAATTTATCCACCATAAAGCAAGATACTAGAAACTCACATGAGCACAAAAAAAAAAAAAAATATTTACTGTTGAACTTTATAAATACGAAACACAATATCACTGATCGAAAATCAACGAATGAATTTAATCACCTTCCAGGTAAAATCTTGGCGATTTCGGACCATTTGTTTCCGTATAAACTGTGGGCACTGATGAGAATTTTTTCCTCTTCTTTTGTCCAGGCAGCCTTATTTATCTCCGGATTCAAATGATTGTGCCATCTGAAATATATCATAACGCATTTCGAATCAATGTTGAGAAAAAGAAGTGAATAATAGTTGATAGAGCGAAAATTAGTAGTGTTTGCAGATAAAAAGCTAAAAGTCGAATAATTAATACCTTTCACGGCATTGCTTTCCCATCCGACCCGGAAGTTGTGCAGCGATTTCAGACCATTTCATCTTCTTCCCCGCCTGCTTCTCGACCAATGTAATAAGAAGATTATCTTCCTGTCGAACAAAGAAAGAAGGACTATGCCAACATCTTAATGAGAATCATATACCGGCTTCGTATTTCACAAAAAGTAAACGAAAAAAAAAATAAAAAAATATGCAAGGTGTATATGACTATGACCTCTTTACTCCAGGGCCCTTTAACCAGGTTCGGATTTAGAACCTTCTGCCAGCGGTGCAAGCACTGTGTGTCCGTTCGACCAGGGAGGCATTTTGCTGAAAAAAAAAACAAAATGTAAAATATAAATAAGAATCTCGAAAATTTAAACTAACTGTGGGAAAATCTTGAGTATGAACTATGAAGTGGCATAAGCTCCATTGCATCCCAACAAAAGGGGAAAATGGTGTAATCAACTATTCTTTCTTTCGACAAAATCTTGTAGCTACTAGCGAAAAAAATCGGCCAATGAAAGAGTATATAAACAAATAAAGAAAAAAAAAAAAACTTGCCGACTTTTTTCCAGCTTTTTCCTCCATGTATTTGAACTGCATCTTGCAAAAGAGCATCCTGTTCATAAAACAGAAAAGGGGTTAAGGACAGTAAATCATCACCAATGTACTTAAAGAAAATGAAGTTTCTCCATGACAAACAATCATACATGCTTCAAATATTCCACTTAATATAATTTCGAAAAATGCCGAAAAGAATATCTGAGAACGTGTCCAAAATAAAGAAATAGCAGAACCAACATAAGTAACAGCATAGTCCTGAGAGTACTACTAACCTCTTCCTCTGTCCAATTTCCCTTGGACGATCTTCTAACTCGACCGGTAAATCTCCTAAACGTGAAAAATAAACGATACACTAAAAACAAAAAAACTAATTTCCGCTACTAAATTGCCACAACATAAGTACATAATACGAAATTCTTGCGTGAGGCAGCTTACTGACACACAATAAGTAACACTAATAAGCAATTTAAAAAAAGATCGTAAAAGGCGGGTTTTTTAAATAACAAACAAGTAAAAAAAAAACAAACCCATTAACAGCAAGAGGCTTCTGATTTGCAGCACCATTGCTTTTTTCATAATCTGTAGCAGTTTCAGCACAATTATCCTCTGCTCCCTCCATAGTTTTTTTTACACGCCGGAGCGCTTAATCGGCCCTTCAATCACAAACCCACAAAAATTAAAGACTAAAGACAGAATTTTGATCACTCAAACTGAGTATATAGCTAACAAATTGCACAAGCCCACAAATATCAAAGAGAAAAAGAAAGGATTTTGATCACCCAAACTAATTATATAGCAGAAAAAAATTGAACAAACCCACAAATATTGAAGAGAAAAGAAAGGATTTTGATCACTCAAACTAATTATAAGCTAATAAATTGCAGGAACAAAATAAGAACATCATCAAAAAATTATCAAAAAACTGCAAATATTGAATATCTTAGTACCCCAACGGTCAATAAATTATGTAAGCTGAGGGCCCAAAAAAAAAAAAAAAAAAAAATCTTGAGAAGGGATTGAAAAATAATTTATCAAAGGAAAATTAACATATGAAAAAACCTTGTAAACTAAGAAAGGCTCAACGGCTAGAAAAAAAATAAATAAATATATGGGGCTTTCAGAAGGAAGAGGAGACTGAGGAAGGAAACAGAATATGTTTTCGAAAATATGAATTTTTTTTTTTATTTTATTTAAGTTTAGTTTAAATTAATGGGGTTTTCTGATATAGAGGAATTATTATACATATAATGGGAAAGTATGAGAATTTGTGAGTATGAAGGGGTTTTAGGGGTTTAGGAGAGAGAAAGGGTGTTGTTGCAGAGAGAGAGAGAAATTCGCGGGAAGAGTCTGCATAGAGAACGACCATTATGATGCACGTGGAAACATAAGATTGGCTTTTTTTTATATATATAACCATAAATAAATACTATTGTAAAAAAAAAAAAAACTTTAAACTTGCAAAATAAATTTTATTTTGATTGTAATTTGAGTACTTAAAAAATCTACTAGTATATTTAGAAGCTAATCCTTTTATGTATAGAAATTTGTCGAACCTTTACATGTTGTTTTGTAATCCTATGTAATTGAGATGACAGTCGTCTCCACTATCTCCGCTAGGTGTATGCTCTTGAACCGGTATCTCCGCTAGGTGTATGCTCTTGAACCGGAAACAACTTGTCGAGTAGTAACGTTGAATTAAATGAGTCTGGTTCGTCTCGGCTCGACCTCGAGTTCATTCAAGTTAACGAGTCGAAAATAAATATTTTATATAATTTGTATAGTTTGACTACTTAAAGTTCGAAATTGACGCGTTAAGGCTCGAATAGTTCGTTAATATTGACAAATGAACCGAGCTCGAACTCGATTTCTGTCTCGCTTACTTTACGAATCGAGTTCGGCTCGACTCATTAAGGGCTCGAGCTCGAACTCTGAGCACACTAAGCTCGAGCTCGGCTTGACTCATTTACAGGCCTCCCAGGGATAATGTATCTAGTCATCTTGAAAACCAACCCATTCAACTTCTGGTCAACGAGTCGAGTTGACCTGAGTTGCTCGGACTGATGCTTTGCATGGAACAAGAAGCTAGTTATGGACCTTCCCGTGCATGCCCGTTCATCACCACTGAGGTCCATGTCGGCAATCTCGGTGGCAAATTGGACGATGGACTTCAACATCTCTCACCTGCCCGAAAATTGCTCGAGTTTATTGAGCTATAGGCTAAGGGATGGCTAAAAATTAGAGATAAGTGAACCCCGTGAAGATGACCAACTCTCGATGGAGGAGGCAGGAGAGAAGCTGGGCCGTCAGTCCGACTGTAAATGGTGTCTCTAGCTGCAGATACTAAGAGCCAATAGTTAATAGATTGTTCTATTTCATTGCCATGTGGCCCAGTATATCCTATATGTGGCATTGAAAAAATCTTAAAGTATATATTTACTCAATTTATCTTTCTCTAACTAATTACAAGCTTACACATGTCAAACTATGATACAATTAACATTAACCATGTGCTATCAGAGATGCTCTGGGTGTAGAATTCCAGTTTCGTACATATATTGAAGAATTATTTAGAAGTTTGGACCCGAATATGTGGGAGAAAAAAAAAAAAAGCCAAAAGGTTTGCAGTGTAGAAAACTTGACTTGCTGGAAGAAAAATAATCAAACCACACCGCAATAAATTGAAATCGGATCAAAATTTTATTAAAAAAAAAAAAAACGAATTGAACCATACCAAATTGCTCAATTCGGCTTGGTTTTCCGTTGGGCTCGACTATGCTCACCCTTGGATGCATGTAAGCTTAGGTTAAAAAATAAAAAATAAAAAAATTACAATCTATCTCAAGTCAAAACTGCAACCACGGGTAAAGACGTTGTATCAGAAAACTTTGTGGCACAGTAATTTTATTCACTATTCAATCGTCACCAGATTTATTTTACATCAAAAGTCCACCATACATATAAGCTGAGATTACAAGCACCGACTTGAATCAGTGTGTTTTCTATATATAGCATTACAAAATAGTATTAAATACAGCCCACCTCTAAATTGAACTCCAAAGCTCTCACAAACTCTAAAACTAAGAGTGGCACAGAACCAAGAATTCCCCCATAACTAAAAACATTATAGAGAGAAAAAAGGAAGCATGTGCACTCGACACACACGAATACATAACCAGATGGCTGTCAAATAGGCACACGAGCGTACAGCTGTGGCGTAATGATTCTAAGTGAGAAAAGGAATCGGGCGAATAAACAGCACCAAGCTAAAACATCAGAAAGTTGACGAGCATACACATACTCTCCGATTGTTCGTATTGTTTCTTTCCATGATTGTTCATTATACTTCCTCGCTGTCCGTTTGATTTCCGTTTTTCAGTATGTTGAACTTGCAGAGGGGACAGGTGGCGTTTATGTGGAGCCACTTGTCGATGCAGGCTGAGTGGAAATGATGGCGGCAGGGGAGTTCACGCAGTTCAGCCCCATCGTCATAGGCACAAAGGCATATGCAACATTCCTTCAGAAAATTAAAATATAAGTTTATTGCCAAGTTTTTGGGAATAAAAAAAAAAATAAATAAATAAAAATGATTTAGTGTTTTAGAGGGCAAATAGTCTAACTGAACATACAGCATCCTCGAGAGGAAGCACGTGCTCTGCAGGAGAGTCTGTGTCGCATTCGGTCATTATTCCTCCAAATGAGTCCTGAATTTCACCATTTTCCTTCTCGAAGTCACCAATTTTGCGAAATTTGTATTTAGGTAGTCTCTCGATATCCTCCTTTGTAGCTCCTTCCTGCAACATAGCATCAACAAAAATTAATAATGGCCAACTAATTGTTGAGTTCAGGTGGCGGACCATAAATGTAACGATATTTTGGTTTGAAATATAAAAATCATTAAAATATTAGCAAAAGTAGCATATACTCACAGCAATAGAAAAGATCATATTATCGATAAAATGGGAATCCATTTGTGATGCATCTCAAATAGAAATAGCAGCACGCAAGGGAGCAGCCAAGTCCATCAATTCAAGGTCCCATAAGTTTCATAATATTGTTAGTTTTCTCATGATAATTTCACTGGTCAGTGATTGTGCACATGAGTTACGACAATCCTCACTTCTTAATGAACAAAAGTGAAATGCGTAAAGTTTGAGCAACCAAACAGGGTCTACAAAAAAGGATAACAAGAAATTCTTAGAACAACCATTAAGATTTTATGGGAAAAATCGACCTGGTCCGCAACTGCATATAAGATTGCAATGATACATGGTAGACAGCAGCAAACAGCAAGCCCAATGAGACACGCCACAACAACACAAATGACGACAAAGAACACATCAAATGCCAAAAATGTAATGCAGAGCCTGCAAATGATGCCAGGAAAGTCCATAATTACAAACAGAATAAATAAATAATAAATAAAGTTGACGATTGTAGATATAGACTGTAGTCCAAGAATGGGACAAACCAGTAGAGCTGAGGTGATTCACTAGTCAAATTTTGGCCACCAGAAGATACCCAATAGAACCCGATTATCCACCAAATGAATGAGAACATAGTATTTGCAGACTCCAAATGTTTAGCAACGCTGCCAGAAGATAAGGTGATCATTGTTAACATTCTCTACATATAAAAAGGCCATTTCCTAAGTATAGAGGTCAAGGAAACTCAGGAAAGATTAGCACAGACCATCAGGAGCACCTTAACTAATTTACAAAAGAAGATCAAATTTGCTTCCTCAACTGGAGCAAATGATAAGCCTTCAAAATATAGTATCGTTACCCCATTAAGCACATCAAATGAGACTCACAGGCACCAATCAAATCTTTAACCCAAGAATATAATACAAGCAGTGACACTTAAACAGCATATGGTCAAGTTACACATATCAAACCTTTATCTAAACTTCTAGGCTCGGGTTGGACTTCATAATCTAAGTGTCTACATCCTATATGAAAATGTTAATAACCTTCTCTCCCATTTTTTCTGCTTTTTATTCACCTAGTTTGTTTTTCACATTACACGTATTCAGTAATAAACAAATGAAATCGATACTTCCTTTGCCAGAAACACAAGGCAGAGACGATCCAATTCGTCGGCACTAACAAAGTACCAATAAGATCATCTTGTGTTTATCCATAGTTAAAAGTAGATGGGTATATCAATATCTTCATATTTACACTTTTATTGTCTTTCATTGTTTCTACAGCTGATAAAAGTTGCTTCTTTATTTACTAAATACATTAACTGCAAACTTCAGCATTCACACAAGACATTACAGCAGATAAGATGTCAAGATGTCAAAATGAACATTATAGTAACAATAATCCATCAAAATATATAAAAAAAACAAACAGATTAAAACAAACCTCGAATCATCATCACTTTGCCGGAGACCGGAGCCATAAACCCCCGACCCCATTTCATCACTTCCGGTGCTCGAATTCGAGTTACTCCGGCCGTACCTCAGCTGCCCCCTCTCACTACCCTCATAATCCCGCAGCGAGTACCTTTTCCTATACTCCGCGCACACGCAAACCATGTGGAGGACGCACTGCAGCGCGTACCCCGCAATCCACAGCCTCAGCGGCATCGATGGCGCCTCGCGGCGGCTCGAGATCAGAACGGAGATCGAGAGAGCCACGAAGGCGAGGTTCCAGACGAGGTCCAGGATCACTATGGGCTTGGAGTAGGCCCAATCGCTCTGGCGCTCCTCGATTTGCTCCGCCGCGGCCTCGCGCACGCGGACGGACGGCTCTCGCATCGCGCGGCCGGTGCTGCTGGCCCGGCGGAGGAAGCGGGCGGCGCCTCGGAGGCTCGGCGGCCGGCGGAGGAAGCGGGGGCGGTTTCGGAGGGAGGCCTGGTCTCCTAGGAAGGGCGTGCCGTCGACGGCGGTCGGCGGGGACGCGGAGTCGCTGTAGGAAGACATCGAATCGATTTTGATTGGGAGTTGAATTTTTCTTTTTCCTCTCACTTTTTTCTTTTAAATTTTCGCGTGTGTTTTTTCTTTCTTTTATTAAAGAGTTTATTTTAGTGGTATATTCTGTTTGGGATAGGTGATCCAACGCCGAGATTTGATTTGATTTGGATGCTCTTTTGTGAAATAGTTAATGTGAAAAATTAACCACCTTTATTGCATTTCTCCTTTCTTCATTTAATTTTTTTTAATATTTGATATGATAATAACAAGTAAAATTATAAAATTTGTAAAATATCAAGTAAAATCTAATAAATAACTGACATTTCATGTCATCTATCGCTCGGTATGCCTAGCTGGCATGTGGTGGCCCACGTGCTAGTCCCTCAAAAGTCGATCATTTTCATCACAAATTTCCATATGAAATGTCATAAATTCCCCTTGAAGCAAGAGTATTTACGGATATAAACCATATAAAAGCTTTGTAGTCGACCATTTCCCTATTTTAGTTCTTTTCAAGGCCCTGAAGTAACTTAAATCTGAAGGTGAACTGCATCATCATTTCCTCGTCGCTGCAATTGTGAGTCTTCCCACTGTTACCTCGCTTTTGTACCCTCTAGACGCTCAACAACGAGCTGTATGCGTGCCGCATGAACCTATTCATCGACGGCGTCAATTTTGGAAACTGCCTCCCGCGGCGTAGTTGAAGTCATGTCAAAGCCCGGAGAAGTTGTAGCCCCTGCGAAGGCTCTACCATTCCGCATGGGCCATAGGTTTGACCTCCACTGGCTTGAGTCGGGCTACCCTGTCAAATCCATAATTTCCAATTCAAATCATCTCAAACCCTAGTAATCGAAACAATAAGCATGGTCAAATATATTTCCGATAATCCAATCGCTCACAAGCCGAAAGGTCAAATTCGCGTACAGCTACGGTAGCCGCATGCTCCCCTGCTACCCGGACGGTAAGGTCCAAGAAAAATTTGAGGGAAATAATTCAATTTACCGCGTCTGATTTAGATTGTGAACTAATAGGGAGAAAAACAGAAAATAATATGGTGTCCATTAATTGAAGGTTATATAACTTATATTTGTCATCTATCATTTAATTTACTATAGTCTATAGTAAGTGCTTGATTGATCGATTTATTTATTTTGGATAAAAAGAAATACGTCATATTTTGTAAACATTTGATACAAATCAAGATGGAACAATGTAGTTCGATTATCAGTCTTTGTAGATATTGGATACAAATAAAGAGCAAACAATGTAGTTCGATTATCAGTCCAATCCCATCAATGAGGCCTTGGAGAACAACCAGCTAATTGACTAAACACGACATGCTTGCTTGTGAATGAGATGAATAAAAAATAAATAACAATATATGATGGGCTATCACGGAAATATCAAATAAAACTATCAATTGTGAATAACAAATACAAATTTAATTTCAATTGTGAATAACAAATACAAATTTAATTTTGGGAGATTCTACGGTCACATTACGAAACCATTCTGTCAGAATTTGTAACTGTTTATTCACAATGATTATATGATGATGTCAAAATTTGTAACTATTAAATCAATTATTCACTATAATTACATGATGATTTAACGGTTCCGTAACGTAGCATTTCCCATTAATAATTTGGTAAGCACCTATTCGATTTCGTCTAAATTCATCGTGCGAAATAAAACAACTGTAAAACTACTGCAAATTTGACAAATTTGCTCCAACAGTCCTAAACCAACCAGTGAGCAGCGAGTATTTGAATTTCAGTGGGCAAATCCGAAACTTTAGCCGGTGAATTAAAAAGGGCATCCACCATAGCTAGCAAACCATCAAGAGAGCACAAATTACCCACGTTTCAGAAGCACACCAACTTCTCGCACTAATCCCCTCCGTTCGCCGGAAGATCACGCGAGCTCTCACGATTTTTCCGTCGCTTTCTTGTCCGGAATGAATTTACCGGCACGTGGAAGCCTACACTAGCGGCAAGACTCTTCTGCTGTTACTATCTATCTATTTTTTTCCCCCATTTGTTGGGACTCCTAGAGAAAACAGGAATTGGGTTATGTACAAATTTTCCCGGCAGAGTGCATTTGGAAATGTGAGGTCTATCACCGGTGGGAAACCTTTTCTAATCGATTCGAATATACATCTCAACGAGCTTTTCAAATCGGGTCGAATTGATGAAGCCCGGAAAGTGTTTGATAGAATGCCTGAAAGGGACGAGTGTACCTGGAACACGATGGTGTCCGGGTATGCAAATTCCGGAAAGCTCGCCGAGGCCCGGAGACTTCTCGACGAGAGCCCGAGAAGGAGCTCGATCGCCTGGTCGTCCCTTGTGTCCGGGTACTGCAAAATGGGGTGCGAGGCGGAAAGCTTCCAGCTGTTGTACCAGATGCAGCACGAGGGGTACCGGCCCAACCGTTTCACTTTAGGAAGTGTGCTCAGGCTATGTTCTATAAAAGGACTCCTCTCGAGAGGCGAGCAGATTCACGGTTTTTCGGTCAAGGCCCGTATGGATACTGATGTTTTTGTAGTCACCAGCCTTATAGATGTTTACGCCAAATGTCGGTGTATAGACGAGGCAGAGTATTTGTTCGAAAGAATGAATGAAGGGAAGAATCACGTCACTTGGACTGCAATGCTCAACGGGTATTCCATAAACGGCGACACGATTAAAACAACCGAGTGTTTTGTGGGCATGAGAGCAAATGGGGTCGAGGCTAATCAGTACACTTTCCCCGGAGTATTAGCGGCTTGTGGGGCCCGCTCGGATCTTGGATTCGGGACGCAAGTTCACGGCTGTATTTTTCGCGGTGGGTTTGTTGCGAATGTTTTCGTTCAAAGTGCGTTGGTCGATATGTACACGAAATGCGGGGACTTGAGTGGGGCCGTAAAAATAGTCGACTCCATGGAAATCGATGATTTGATTTCATGGAATGCTTTGATTCTCGGTTGTGTTAGACTTGGTTCTCCAGGGAAAGCTCTGTCTTTATTTAATTCCATGCATGTGAAAGGCATGAAACCAGACGAGTTCACATATCCCTCTGTACTGAACTCGTTTGCTTTGGTAAAAAACGTGACGGCCGGTAAAAGTATCCACTCGTTGGTTATTAAGTCCGGATTCGAGGCTTACACGCTCGTCTGCAATGCTCTAATCGACATGTACGCCAAACAGGAGAATCATTTAGATGTTGCGTTTAAGTTGTTCGATTGCTTGGCAGCTAAAGATGTGATTTCTTGGACATCCCTTGTAACGGGCTGTGCCTATTGTGGGCTCCACGAGGAAGCCCTCGAGTTATTCTGTAGGATGAGAATCGGTGGGACCCACCCGGACCGAGTAATCCTCTCGAGCGTCCTGAGCTCGTGCGCTGAGCTGGCGCTGCTCGATTTAGGTCAACAGCTTCACTCGGATTCGATAAAATCCGGGATTGACTCGTCGCTATCGGTCGATAATTCGCTCGTGTCGCTGTACGCGCACTGCGGTTACTTGGAGTGTGCGGAGAAAATATTCGACTCGATGGGAACTCGAAATGTAGTATCTTGGACTGCATTAATCGTGGGCTATGCGAAAAACGGAAAAGGAACAAAATCAGTCGAATTTTACGACCGAATGATAGAATTGGGCTTAAAGCCCGACTCGATAACCTTCATAGGTTTGCTATTCGCCTGCAGTCACGCGGGCCTAACCGAACAGGGCCGCCACTATTTTAACTCCATGGTGAAGGACCACGGGATTAGCCCAGGGCCCAACCACTACGCGTGCATGATTGATCTTTTGGCACGATCGGGAAAAATAAACGAGGCAGAAAAATTATTAAATGAAATGAGGGTTAAACCGGACGCAACCTTGTGGAAATCGTTACTATCTGCATGCAGGGTGCACGGGAATATCGATCTTGCCGAAAAAGCTGCTAAAGCATTAATCGAGTTAGAGCCTCGAGGCTCATTCCCTTACGTAATGCTTTCGAATATTTACTCCCAAAATGGAAAATGGCACGAAGCAGCTCGTATTAGAAAGTCGATGAAATCGAGGGGCGTAGAGAAGGAGCCCGGTTTTAGCTGGATTGAGATTAATGGTAAAGCTCACAACTTTTTGTCCGAGGATAGGAGCCATTTGGAATCGGACGAGATCTATCGGAAAATCGATGAGGTAATGGTTTTGATCAAGGAGTTTGGGTATGTTCCGGATTTGAAATTCGCTCTGCATGATGTAAATGAAGAGAACAAGGTTTTCGGGCTGGCTTATCACAGTGAGAAGCTGGCCGTGGCTTTCGGGCTGCTCAAGCTTCCGGCTGGGGCGCCTGTGAGAATATATAAGAATATGAGGGTTTGTGGGGACTGTCATAACGCGATGAAGTTTGTGTCGAGGGTTTATAATCGACGTGTGATTATGCGGGATTCGAACTGTTTTCATCATTTTGAGGATGGTGTGTGTTCTTGTGGAGATTATTGGTGAAAGAAGTTGTTTTTACAGGTCTCATTTTGGTGTGTGAAGTTTTCTTGTAAAGGCTTCGAGGCTTGATGAGAGCTTTTTTTTTTTTACTTTTTTCTTTCTGGAGTAGTTATGAGCCATATGATTGGCCATACTCACAAGATATTGACCATTATTTTGAAGGTTTATAAATTTGTGCGTGAAAGTGGAGCTATAAACGATGCAATGCTCGTGAACAAAAGTTCGTTCGAATTCGAATAATGTTTGCTAATTAATTAATCAAGGCAACTCGAACAAAAACCTCCTTTTCCCGCTCAAAAAAATTTGAGATTTCAACATATTTGTTGAATCCCATCACAATTTAGAGACAATTAATATGCAATGATTGGAAAATCCAACAAACAAACAATATTGAAGAATATTAATGTTGTTAGAATATTATAGAGTAATACTATTTAGCCTACCTGGATGACAACTTGAGTTATAACTCAAGTGTAAATTTATTATTAAAAAAGTAAAAAATAATGTATTTACACTTGAGTTGTAACCTAAGTTGTCATTCACGTTGACTCTATAGCATTACTCAATATTATAAGAAGAGCGACCTGCGTCTCGTTGTTGTGGTAATTACCAGGAAAAGAATACAACCTTTTCATTTTTGTCCATATATTTTTTTTTTTTTTTTTTTTTTTTTTTTTTTTTTTTTTTTTTTTTTTGTCTCACTTGATTTTTTTTGTTTTTTAAATAATAAACCACCCCAATAGATGGCATTTTTAATTATTTTGGCATTTTTAGTTGAATTGTTTTTAGTTATATGATATACCATTTCAAATAATGTTTATTTGATTCATCTACAAAACGGAATGGACAACCAAACACAACATTACTTAAGAAAGAAACATTGTTGATAACCCAAGAAAGCATTAATTTGAAATATAAAAAAATAAACATTTTTTCTTAATTAGTCATGCCTTAATACATCACATTCCATTCTCTGAAAGGCAATATACAAAAACTGTTGCATGTGTCCCGAGAATGGTGTAACCTATGTTCCCCTCCTATGTTCCCGTCCTCATGTGCTTAAACTAGTGCACTACTTATCCCATGAGCCAAATATATCCCCCGAAGAAGCCTTCCGTCTCGACTGGGACCTTTCCGTGTCCCGGTCCTCCTACCTCGCGCCAGCAGCGACATCATCAGAACAAAATCAAATATCGAGGCCTCGCTTTATTCCGCAGGAACTAGCTTTCACACTCTAGTGCGTGTCGGCACTGGTCCTGACCCACCGTTTTTGTCAATCGTAGTCGACTCGGGCTCTAGCCTAACGTGGGTCCACTGCGGACCGTTCAACTCCAATAAGTTCTTCAACCCGAGCGCCTCCCCCACCTTCCGCAAGGAGATCATGTGCAATAACCCGACCAGCGCATGTCCTAATCTCCGCGAGGTCAAGTGCCGAGACAATGAGTGTTGGTACACAATCAAATACGGCAGCTGAACCAGCAGTGGTTACCTCGCCCGGGACAGATTCCAGTTCCATTCCCTCGACAACGAGGACGATGACGAGCCCTTCTCCCTCGAGAACATCACCTTGGGCTGCGACATTAACGGGAGTCTGACAAATATCGCCGGCATCCTCGGCATCATCAACGATCGTGACTCTCTCGTCTCGCAGTGGGGTACTCACGCTTCGCCTACTGCCTCGGGAACATCAACGACCCCGCGTACCCTTACAACATATTATTCATAGGCGACGGTGATGAGATCGGCCTCCACGGCTCTCAAACACCCCTCTACATCGACTACCATTACTACATCCGCCTCGAGGATATCGCGGTTGGAGGTCGACCCGTCGATGGATTCTGCTCCCACATGTTGATGGTCGATTGTGGCAGTACCTTCACCTTCCTCCCCCGGCAGGCCCTCAAGAAGCTAGAGACTAGATTTGAGGAAGTGATTGGGGGCAGGCTGACAAAGAGCTACTTGTTATACGAGTTGTCCACAGTGTTGTGCT